AATAAATAAATAAATAAATAAATAAATAAATAAATAAATAAATAAATAAATAAATGAATGAATGAATGAATGAATGAATGAATGAATGATGACTATATAACATTTTACTGACTCTACTATATAGGATTTTTAGTTATTTTTTGATAAGAATCCCAGATTTTCTGCCATTGTCTTCTCAATCCAAGCTGGTGGTTAAGATAAAAGAAAGTAGCAAGCAGCTAAAAGCTGCTTTATAAATACAATGGGATATCCATACCCACAGGGGATCAATTTCAAGCTGTCCCCAGCAGATGCTGAAAAACACGGATTATAGCGAATTCTATTTTAATAGTGAACGCTATACATAGCATGGTCTTTGGCTCCCTCTATTGGCCAGTTCTGGTAGAGACACTGCAGAAATATATATTCCTAGGATTTTTCTTTTAAATATTTTTAGACTGTGGATAAGTGAATCAGTGGATACTGATCCTGAAGATACGGGGGTCCTTTCTTTTTTTTTTAAAAAAAAAATTACAATCACAAGTTCCAGTAAAATCTGGTGAAAATGTACAAGGCTACATAGAGATAATGGATCACTCAATCAAATCTCTTTCTTCCAACTTGTAAAGGGGATACAGGCAAGCGAGAAGTCTGCAGACGAATGCTCAGAGAACTGATTCAAAGGCTTCCAAGCTCTAACCCATCAATGCCCAAGGTTTTTCTGGGCGTATACCTGCTGAATGACTTCCATACCTGGGCAGTGGTGGTTGCCGCACATGGCCAGCTGGTCCTCCTCCCCTTGACAAGGCAGCCCTCCTCTTGAGGGGGCAGGGCTGTCACACCTGCGGATCCTTCTCCTCATCCCGGAACACGTCTCCGAACATATGGACCAGGGTGACCATTCTGACCACTGGCCATTGACTAAGGTGAGGAAGGAAGGAGAAACAGACTGGCAATACAGAATCCACATAAGATGAAATCTTGGGATAATCACAGAATAATGGAGTTGGAAGCAGACTCTAAGGCCATGGAGTCCAACCCCCTGCTCAAGGCAGGGATCCAAATCAAAGGGTATCGGACAGAGGGTTGTCTGTTCCTCTGGAAGGCCTCCAGCGTTGGAGCGCTCACCGTCTCCATTGGTTCCATTGTCGTACTGCTCTAACAGTTAAGAAGTTTAATATTCAGCCTAAATTTGGCTTCCGGTCCTTTGAGCCCTTTATTGTGTGTCCTGCACTCTGGGATGGTTGAGAATAGATCCTGCCTCTCCACTTTTCAGGTGTTCAGAACATGTGAGTCAGGATACAGGGTCACGGAGTCAATTTGCAGTCAATATGGTGAAAATCCTTTTCCTGATCCATACGCCCATCTAAACAGTATCCTGGCTTATCTATCCTGAGCGTGGGATGTCTTGGACATTAGGGTGATGGAAGAATTTTTAAAACAGGTTTTACTTTTCCCACCCAGCCTCTTTCAACCAAGAGTAACAGCCTGGCATACCCTCGCACATCCCAAATAATGTGAGAACTACATTTCCCAAAATCCTTTGGTCAAAGGCCTATGACCATTACATCTACGTAAAACAGAACAATTAGGATTCTGTACACAAGGCCGTAACAAATGTAAAGTTCCCAGCATTCCTTGGAGCAAACCAATGAAAAGTTAAAAACCTTCTGTTCTTTTCTTTTTCTCCTTTTTTGCATTGAAGCGATAAGCTTTTATTTATTTACATATTTAAATTATTGTTTATTCTGCTTTTCTCCTAAAAAAGGACCCAAGATGACTTACTTCATAAAAAGACAATATTTGAAAGCTAAAAACAGTGTTATACCAATTGAAAAAGAATATTATATTAAAAATATTAGCGAACTTTTTTTTTTACTAAAATAGATTTAAAAACAAAAAATAGAAACCAGATCCATTTTGAAACCCCTCTCACACAGCCAGTCACTCGGGGAAAGCTTGCCTGAAGAGAAAAAAGGGCTTTGCCTGCTTGCGAAAGGACAGCCAAGAGGGGGCGAGTCTGGCCTCCAGTGGCAGGGAGTTCCAGAGGCTGGGAGCAGCCATAGAGAAGGCCCTCCTCTCCTGTGGTTCCACCAAGTGCACCAGGTGGTTCCACTAACACCCGAGTAGGCTCATAAAAGGGAGACGGGCTTTGGAACAGCTTGGACTCAAAGCTGCTTAGGTTCACCCCCTTTGGGGCCGGCGAGTTGCATGCTCCCAATATAAGAGGCAACAGCTGGATTACCCATGCAGGGTTGTAGCTGAGGGCAAACCCTGAGCTCAGCAGATCGTCCCTTACACCGCACGCCACTCTCCGGGTGAGTGCAGCGTCGGATCCGCATCTGGTTCTGGACGCCACAGGTAGCAGAACAGACCGACCACGGAGACCACGGGGACCAGGTGCTTTTCGCTGCGAAGAAGAGAGAAAAGGAATGGAAGGTGATGCAAAGACAACCCTCCACTTTGTGCATTCACGCAGGAACGAACAGCTTAATCAATTCAGAAAGGGAGCTGCAAGGGGAATCCAAAGCTGTTCTTGCAGAAAGTGTTTCCTTCCACCCACCACCACCCCCACCAAGCGATGGGAGAAAAACTTTACAGACGTTCTTCTGCCTCTTTGGAATCAACCTGCGGAATGTTCATGGAAAACTGATGGGAGCTTATGGAACTCCCTGCCACAAGATAGGAAGTCTGTTCTTCAGTCAACCAATAACAAAAATTACGCTTGTTGGAATACTGTGGCAGACGTTGTTTGCTGACTGCTCAGTCCAAGCACTCCCAAGTCCTTCTGGGTGAAGTGGGAGCCCCAAAAGGTTGAGAAAAAGAGGAATGTTTGGGTTCTACTGGAATTCTAGTGGCATGTTTGAGGAGGCAGAATAAATGAGGGACTAGGAGGACGTTGGGTAAATGAAACATTCACATTCAGAGTAGGACCCCCTGTATCTGTGGGGGGATTGGTTTAAAGCCTTCCAGCTGGTGCTGAAAAATGGAGAACACTGTTTTTATAGAGAATGCAATATATAGCATGGTCTCTGGCTCCCTCTAGTGGCCGATTCTGATAATAGTATCACAGAAATCTATTTCTCTAGTGAATGCTATACATAGCACGGACTCTGGCTGCCTCTAGTGTCCAGTTCTGGCACCGTCATTAAAAATATATATAGTACAGTGGTGCCTCGCAAGACGATGTTAATTCATTCCGTGAAAAATGTCGTCTTGTGAAAACATTGTCTTGCGAAATGCAGTTCCCCATTGGAATGCATTGAAATCTACTTAATGCATTCCAATGGGGAAAAATCGCCGTCTTGCGAAAATCGTCCATAGAAAACATCATCTTGCTCTTGCGAAGCGCCACAGCAATCGCAAAAACTAATCATCTTGCGGATTAATCGTCTTGCGAGGCAATCGTCTTGCAAGGGACCACTGTATTTGGGGGAATTCTCTTTTAATATTCCTAATCTCTTCAGACCAGGGATAAGTGAATCAACACATACCAATCACACAGATAAGAGGGCCCTACTGTATGTGTGCCAATACCAGTGACTGAAACCCCAACACCAGGAACTGATGGGGAAAAGACAGTTGCTCTCATACTGCCTGAAAGCCGCTAGAAGTCTCCCGGCGGAAACCGGACGCAGGGTGAAACCAATCCTTGGTCTAGCTCACCCAAGCATTCGCACCTCGATTACCTTTACAAAGGACACCATCCCCGATAAATCCACTCTGACACATGCAGAAGTAAGAGCCCAGGGTGTTCAAGCAGGCGGAGTCTTGGTTGCAGCCGTGGGTTCCCCTGGTGCATTCGTCAATGTCTAAGGAGAGAGGAAGCAAAGCAGGAGCAGCGCAGAGATTTCCACCCGACGACTAGCAAGCCAAACCCCGGACGGGGCCCTGGTGCAAAGCTGCCCACCTTGGAGAACAGTCAGGGCATGTGCGACAGGGACAGGCTGATGGAGAGAACCTAGAGCTTAGAATTTTTTAAAAAATTCCTTGGGCTATAAACCCAGCCTGACTGCTGGCCAGAGTATTAAGGGAGTTGCAATCAAAAAAGTGACATCTATCCATCCATCCATCCACCCACCCACCCACCCACCCACCCACCGCTGGAATATGCCCAAACTTTAAAAGTAACCCAAGAGTTGCCATTTCCCCTACCGATGCAGCTGAACAGGCCGTCTCCTTCCAAGCCTCTCGGGCAGCGGCAAAAATACGATCCGTAGGTATTGGTGCACTCAGCTTCCGGCAGACAGTTCAGGGGTGTCCCTTTCTCACACTCATTGATGTCTTTAAAAAAAAAGGGAGGGGGTAAATGTACAGTAGGGTCCCCATATCCGCAGAGGATTCCTTCCAGCCCGCCCCCCCCCCGCAGATGCTGAAAAAGCAAATACTGAAAAATCCATATTATAGCAAACAATATAGAGTAGCAAGTGCTATCCATAGCATGGTCTCTGGCGCCCTCTAGTGGCCGGTTCTGGTAACTTCCTCATTAGCAATATAGCGTCACCTAACTTCGTGCTCATAAAGAAAGCTCCCAGCTAGCACTGGGGCAGGAACAGGAAGCTTAGGTGAAGCTAGGCCTAGCTTGCTCTCAAAGCCTTCCAGTTGAGGCCTTTCTTCCAGGTGAGCCACATTTCGGTGCCTGCAAGGTATATTTGGTCTGTTAGGCGGAATGGAGAACGATGGGATTTCTGGTCCAAAAATCTGATCTATAGTGATTACTGCTTAACGGTTGGTACTTGCAAAGCCACATTACTCCCAGTGGTGGCACTGTGGTGTAAACAGGAAACACATCCATTATCTCCTCTTCTGACAAGGTGACATCACGAGAAAGGTGACTGTGTTCACTGCCAAAGAACCCAGATTTAAGATCCTTAAAGATCTTACAGAGTGCTATAGCTCTCTCACCTGGTGGAACAAACTTACAAATCAATACTGCTGGATGTTATGGCATTAATTGTACAGTATTGCCCTCAACTTTATATTGTGCTTTGGTCAGTAAAGGCTATGAGAAGCAAAGCTCACAATCATTTACCGATACAGTGCAAACCGTTTCCTTCAAACCCCGACTTGCAGTGGCAGTTCTTTTCATCCCGACCTCCGTGGCAAGTTTTGCTGACATCTGATGGGAGAGGAACACACATAAAAGAAGGAAAAGTAGTAAATAAATCCCAATCCATGCACATCTTTCCATTATTACAAAACTGAATACGCATTCCTCTCCTTTTGTTGCTCTCTGAAGGAAGTTCATGGGATTTATCAGGAGTGGCATAGCGCTATACTGCATCTCTACTTTAGCGCTGAACTGCTACTATACTTGCATTTTCCAGTCGTGAGCAATCATAGCTTGTTCAGTAAAATACACATGGTCATCTGTCTGTTATGCTGGCCCAAGGTGAGCCAGTGAATTCCATGGTTGAGTAGGGATTTTGAACTCGAGTCTCTCTCATTAAGCAGGAAAGAACAGGCTTAACGGCATGAGACCTTTTGGCCAATAGCCCTCCATCTGGAAGCATCCCAAAGAAATAATTATTCTTGCCAGTAATGATGATCGGAAGCATGCAAGGAGATTCAGTACCTTTCTCTATTAGGAAGAGCTTCTGGGCAACCAAGACTCGTCCGGGAACATCGGGGCTAAAATCAAATACAAGAGCTCGGATGTAGCCAAAATCAGAGTCACTACAAAATGGGAAGAAAAAGATAAAATACACTGTTTGCTAATCGTCGTCTATTTGAAATTGCCCTCTGTTTAAGAGGAACAAACCCCCAGATTATTACTTATCGATCTGAAAATGAGAAGGGCAGGAAGCTTGTTCCACCACAAGCCCATGTCCACATCCAGGGAGTAGAAAGTTAAATATCTTTTTCAACCTGGGCGGTGAGCTTCTCTATCATTTTTGTCCATCTTTGAGAAGGCTCTTGTTCAGCATCTCCAAGGAAATAGGCTGAACCCCAGATGCTGGGCGTACTTTAATCCTTGAAGTTCCATCCTTTCCACGCCATTGGCTAAGACCTCTGCCTGGCCCTCCAGCAACGTCCTTGGCCGCGGCTCCTTGATCCACCTGACGAAACTAGAAGGCGGCAGCTGGATGTACTTTGGCAACTGAATGGTGACGGTGTCTCCTTCCAAGAACCTTCCAAGTTCTACCATGGAGAAAGCAACCAAGGAACCATTCAACACACTGAATTCAACACACTGATCCATCCATCCATCCATCCATCCATCCATCCATCTATCCATCCATCCATCATCGCATGGTAGAATCTGGCAGAATCTACATTCAAAACACCCTACAAGTATGATTTCTAAAAATAACAGAAAAGGTTTATAGAGCATTGTCTATCTTTATGTAATTGCTAAACCTTAATATACATTTTTATATTTCAAATTTGCAATTGTGTGTGTGTGTGTGGGGGGGGAACATTAATATACATTTTTATATTTCAAAGTTGCAATTGTGTATGTGTGTGTGGGAATCTCCACACTATAATAACCCTTTATACTTTTTTTTAAAAAAAGTTTTATTTTATTAAAATTTTATTTTTAATATTTTATTAAAATAAAAATACAAACAATAAAGAAGAACCCTTGGGAGTTTTATTTGCAACCTTGCATGCTACCTGCAGGTTTTTTTTTAACTGACGGGGACTGGTGTGATTGCCTTTCTATCTAGCATGAACCAATTGCTCCTTCCAGCCTTTGAATTAAAAAGAAGAGAGACCTGCCTGTCAGCTGAGCGTTTTCTTTTCTCTCTTTTGTCAGTTGGTGGCAGTTGTTTGTTTGCCACTAATCTGTTCGGTTGGTTGCTAAGTATGTGTGCAGTAAAGAAAGCGGTCTGTAATTTCAAGCCACCGTAAGTAAAGAAATGTTTTTGTCCTTTCTCTTACAAATGTCTCAGAGGGAGTTACCGGGACTTTAAGTGCCGGTTGATGAGAAAGGAGTGGATTTCAGGGAACTTGTAGCTGTTCTCTTCTGCGAGTCTCTATAGGAAAAAGGATTTTATCAGAAATTCAAAACTCGGTAACATTTACCTGTCGGTGTACTATCCAACACAAATAAGTACTTCAGTTGGGAAGGATTCAGCATCTCAAAGGCCATCCAATCGTAAGCTTCAACCGTAGCTGTCTTGGTAGGCGGCGCATGCAATTTCACTTCCGCCCAGAAAAGGTTTGGGTAAAAATCATCTTCCTTGATTGACAGTAGGGTTAGGGTCCGGCCATGATTCGCCACTATCATCCTCCGGGTCATGTTCTCCACAGGTGCCAGCCTTCTTCGATAGCTAGAACGGGAAATCACATCAGGACAAATGAAGGCAGCCAATGAGGGTGGCTAGAATGGTGTAAAGGTTAGAGTCCTGGACTAGGACTCAGGAGACCTTGGTTCGAATCCCGCCCTGGAGAGCATCCTGCAGAACCTCCCCGACTAGAACCATACCTGTTGAACTGGGGGCTTTGGCCGATGTAGAATTTGTACCACCACACAATGTATGAGCGACGGTGGCCCAAAGCAGAGACCGTGACCCCAAAGGTGACCTTCCGTTCTGTGACCTTAAGAAGACAAACTTGTTCTCCAAAGCCATCGCAAGCTGATAGGTTGGAGGTGGTGATACGAAATCCAGGATCTACAAAACAAAGCAAACTCAACTCTGATTTCCTTGTCTTCTTTTTCTTCTTCTTCAGAAACTCGGAATGAATCTTTTAGGTAGCACTTCTGGGGCCTTGAAAACACCTTGTGAACTTCTCCTTATCCCACGCTCTGCCCAAAAAACTCTTGTGGAGAAGGTGCAGAATAATACTCCCATTGCACCCATGCAAGAAATGCAGACTAAGGGGGCTGTTCATCCAAGGCCACGTGATCCACCCAAGACTGAGTTGGGATTTGAACCCAGGTTCTTTCAAAAGGCTTTCCTCCTCTCTCTTTGTTTCTTTCTCTTATCTTTCGACCCACCTTCTAAAGAGACCTCTGAGAGTCCTTAGATGTGAATATTACTAACAAAGGAACAATTAAATGGACCTTCTAGCCATTCCAGGTTCTCTATTTGTCTGGCTGACGAAATTTCTGACAACTTGCTAGACATTTGTGCATTAGCAGAGGCGGGACTAGATGGCCTTGAGAATCCCTTCTAACTGTACATGGCATGATTCTATGATGCTACATGGCATGGAGGTCAGAAAGATCCAGATGCCTAGAGAGAAAAGGCTGCAATACCCAGAAAGAAGCACATTCCTGTAATCCGTAATACGACTCTTACCTTGACAAGAATTTATTCCGTCACCTTTGTAGCCGGGCAGACACCGGCAATAGAAATCAGACGTCAGCTCGTCTTGCTGACAAATGGCTTTAGGGTGGCAGTGAATCTTCCTGGTTATGCACTCCCGTTTATATGGATCTAAGTTGTTGAAGGGCAAGAAAGACAATCACCGTTATCACATACCTCTCCCTGTATCGTGGAGGGGCATAGCTTCAGTGCTCAAGACAGGCCAGCTCTGATTGACTGAGTACATTTCCAATAAACCACATGTATATAGTGCAATCTCTGGTTCCATCTAGTGGCCATTCCTGGTAATACACCTTGGAAACATATATTTCTAGGTTTTATTTTTATTTCAGGCAGAGGACAAGTGAAACCACAGATTCACATGTATATAGTGCAGTCTCTGGTTCCATCTAGTGGCATTCCTGATAATGCACCTTGGAAATGTGCATTTCTAGTTTTATTTTATTTTTATTTTAATTCAGGCAGAGGACAAGTGAAACCACAGATACAGCGGTCCTACTGTATATGCTAATTATTCAGCAGGTCCCACATGACTCAGGTCTGCCTGTCTCTTGGGTACCTTAAAAGCAGAGCTTGGAAATTTTGCTTTTCTGAGCTGTGGTTGCGACCCCCAATTCCCTGTTTGACAGCGGGTCCTGCGGGATTTTGAGAATCGTAGCTGAGCAAACAAACACCGGACCCAAAGAGGAAACATGTGAATACAAGAGCTTTGAATGAATGAATGAATGAATGAATGAATGAATGAATGAATGAATGAATGAATGAATGAATGAATGAATGGCCAAGATGTTGAACCTGGCCAGGGACATTGATGTCCAAGAATGGTTTCATCCATCCTGCGATTTCTGTGTAGGAAGATTTACCTTGGATTTTGGTTAGGATCTGTGTGACAATGCAACACAGGAGGAGAGCAGCTGCCACCAGCATTCTCATTTCAGTATCCCTTATTTGTATACAATTCACATCTTGCGTCTTATAGGTGGGGTTATGAGGCCCCGCCCTCTGGCAATATGGTGTTGGGTCTACGATCAAGGCCCATCTGGGTATTGTTCTCTTAGAGATCTTAGAACCGAGGCCACCAAGGCCGAAAGTTCTAATCCTAAGATTCTAGAGCTTGGAAAAGTTCCTTTTTTCGGATGACAGCTCCCAGAACCCCCAGCAGTGTGGTGACTTCAACCAGTTGACCATCTTCTGGCAAAGGAATTTCAAAGCGAGAGTCCAGCATGAAACAGATGGCTCACAGTTGGTTAAGAAATTCAGTTCTAGCAGTTTGGGTCTCAATAGATATCATGGTTGTTAGCTTCACCGCAGATGATAATCTAGTCAAAATTGCTAGATAATTAGGATTATTCCCTATCACTGCTTTTACATTCAAGATTTCATTTGTTTCCTCCTGGCCTCGAAACATATAATCCGTTTGCTGGCTGAAATTCTCCTGCACCATGGGCAACAAGATGTTTGATGAAGCGGACTCTACTCCACAACAGCTCACATCATAATAAATCTGCTAGTCTCTTGGTTGTTTTGAGTATTTTTAAATGCCTTTCGATGTGTTTTTTATCAGGAGAAACTGAAATATGGAATTCAGTGGCTGGACTCTTCTGTGTTTCTGTGTGTACCTGGAAAGCTGACCTCACAGGCAGAGGTCAATGTGGAAACAGACAGTTCACACCTTCAACTCATCTCCTGATATTGAACACTTCAAAGAAGGACCTTAACAGCGAGCAGCTGCTTTCATGCTTATCTTTATCAGAGGGCATATCAAAGAAGATCCATAAGGACTCTGATGTCTTATCTGTAACCTGGACTTGAAAGTAATCAGCCCGCTTCCTTCCCAGAGTTATATAAATTTGGAAAAAAGAATGGTGCCAAGTCCTGAAGGAACATGAAAGGCACTTAAGATGTTGCTGTGTAATGGCCCATTTATTTGTATAAAAAGGGATTAAAGAAAACGAGTTAGCCTAGCATGTCTCTAAGGAGAACAATGCTTTGCTCTCCTGCTGTTCAGTAATGCTGCAAAGGGACTCAATTGGACAAGGAGAAATTGGCCCTGTTTGCTGTCATACGAAGCTCTGACGGGACAATGCATTATGTGCATGTCCCTAAACTATACAGTACTATCTCTCTGCTAAGGTGTATTAGATTACCGGGACAATGCACTCTGTGCATGTCCCTAAACTAAACTATCTCTCTGCTAAGGTGTATTAGATTACGAACAACATAGAAGCAACCTAAATGAAATAAACTATGTTCCTGTAGTATGCAGTACAGTATTTCTGTACATAAGATCTTTGGAATGCTGCTACCTTTTCTGGAACACTGTACAGCCCTTGGCTTGACAGTGAACCATAAAAGGATCAGCAGAGGCAGGACCAGAGGAAGAAAGGAAAGTATGAGGGCTGTGGACTCAAATGCAAATCACATCACATGACGTGTAAACACGGAAGTCCTGGATTAATCCACAGCCCCTGTGTGATAGTGGGTTGCAAATTCATCCATAATACTGGCTGCAAATCAAATTACAGCAAAGCTGGTGTGTGATTCAGCTTGCTGGTGTAGTCACAACTAAAGTCGAATAAAGTTTTAAATGATTAACTGCTTCCTTCTGGGGCCCAGAACAGAATCATTTAGAGTGCTACTTGATGTTTCCAAAACTGTCTGTACAAGCACACACAGATCATGTACACCTTGATGGTGAGATACAGGCGGTGGAGCAAGAGGGGATTTAAATGCCGGATTATTAGCGGGGACAATTACAAAATAAACTTCTTGGCACCAGAAAAATACGAATCTGTTATCCAGTGCTTGGAGCATTGTAACAGATCACGTGCTTTAAATATAAAGTTCACCACAGTGTAAAGCAATCGAAAGTTTTCAAAGGGGTGTCCATCAACAGAGTCCCTTGAGAATAAGTCATTGTGGTAACCACCGAGCAGCCAGTTAAGTAACACGTGCATGTCAAAATCACAACATGCTTCTACTGCAAGTGTTAAAAAGTTGTCGTTCCTGTTCAGACCTTTGTTGATCACTCTGGATTTTGGAACGCATCTTCGTTCTGTGGTTTCTTGCTCGGGTTTTCCTTCCATGTCCTCTCCTCCTTCCACTACAGCCATTTGAGACCAGTTTAAAAACTGTCCTGGGGGAATGAAGGGTTCTCCTATCAGCGTTTGTGTATTGCCATGGTGGCTCCGTGGTGAATACCATTTCCAGGAAAGTAAGATCCATGTAGACCTTGTATTGTATTTGGCTTCAGCAGGGACCACTGTGAACAGAAGGCTGGATTTGATGGTCTTTGAGCTTGATCCACTCTAGCACCTCTTTTGTCCCTGCGTTCATTACGTTGTACACGTCCTTTTTAAAATTTGTGATAGCAGTAAACTTGGACATGTAGGAACTCATCAAGACTTTTCCTTTAGCCAGCCCTCCCAATAATTATTTTTTTTAAAAGACAGGGGGCAAAATCAAGCCTTATTAGCAGCATGTCTTTTGCAATGGTAACGGCTCTTAACTGCTAGGGCAAGACCAAACTATGCTCAAATCCTTTGCTTGGCAACAGGGATTCCTTTTCAGCTATATATACTTTTCCTGGTAAATTCCTTTCTCTCCCAGCCCTAGCGAAGGTTGCAGATAAGCGGTGATGGAGATGTCATCATCCCTGCTCCTCAGAAGCTTTTGCAGCTTCCATAAACCCTGGTTCCACCCTATCCCACGGGAGTCCATTATAATGATCAGTTCTTCACAATACATGGTAATGATGCGGTGTGACTGCTTTGGTAGTATTACCCATTAGACTTCTCTAAGTCCATCGGCAGTTGTGGATTTCAAAGGGAAAACGGGGAGGTGCTGTTTGGTGCAGGCAGGAAAGAAAGATCCACACCAGGAATTACCCTCAGGAATAAAAAGATGCCCAAAAGATCCACACCATCATTGGCCTGGAATTACCCTCAGGAATAAAAAGATGCCCAACCAACAGACGGTGTGCTAAGATAAAGTCATTTTTTTGTGTTCATTCATTGGCATACTCAAGGAAGAAAGAGAGGGGACCCAGATAGAGAACCAATCAGGAAGAGTCCTTTATCTGCTGGTACTCTTCTTCTTATGAGGAGTCGAAGGGCTGGGTTCGGAGCTCAGCGAAGGGACCTTGACCCCTTTCTGTTTCAGCATTTGGTGAAAATCGATGCGGTCCGTGATTATTTTCTGGAAGACAGACCCACAGTAGAGGCAGCTGTTAAAACTGGAGCAGGAATCATGGGGCCCGAAGGGATGTCTGTGTCTCCAGGGGCCTTTCTGTACCGTCCTAGATCATAAATTCCACCCAGAACACACACAAACAGGCGTACATTTTGGGTGGTAATTGTGGTCTGGGATATTAGTGGGGGAATAAACTTCCGGCTACTCCTGGAAGCACCTGGGTTTTGCATGTCATATTTTAGAACCCCTGCACTTTTCAGTTATAAAAACCCTGAATGTCTACTTCTGACCCCTCTCGGCCTTGCTCTTCTCACCTTTGAGATGTTGGTAGAGCCCCCTGTCAGTCCCGGAAATGCAAAACAGTGGCTTCATGCCATTTTAATTATCATGACGCTGTTCTACAGACTCTTTGGATCTGCAGTCTGGTTAAGGAACTTGAGGGTTTTTCTTTTATAATTTAGGGACATCCACGGGAGCTCTCTGGCTCCCTGGAACTCAGCCACCTCGATTTAGGAAAGGGCAGCGGCAGTCTTCTATCTCCTGCGCTCTCGCTGCAATCTTTCCAAACCACGGAAGAGAATGTTTTTTTACCTGCAGGGCCTCTAAAACCTCTTCGTCGGAAATTTCCGCTTGGGGTGACTTGGAGCCAGGCGTGCTGTAGGTGGCCTGGATGATCTTGCTTCGAAACCTTTCAAACTGTTGGAACACAGAAGTGCAACCCAGCATTTGCATACGAGAATGTTAAAGTTAGGTAATTTACATATTCTAACTTAGCGACCAATGATATTCTGTCTGGTGTTAGCCAATGGGTGCCCAGCAGGTGAGTTGCCTATGAAATATAGGCCACCTCCCACATTTTCAAAGGGACTAGACACTTACATCCATTTAAATAGTATGACTCCCCCCCCCTCACTTTTTAAACAGTCATTAGGAGATTATTCAATGCCCAAGACGCTCGCTCCGTTAGATCAGGGAAGGCTGGACCAATAGGTGGAATTTGGGAGAAATTACCCGGGCGCTGATGCTCTCCAGCATGACCCTGGTCTGTTGCTCTGCCCGCTGCAAAACCTCCAGCTGCCTCTGCAGCTCGTTCTGCCGGCTCAGCTGCTTCCCGATGTGGTGCTGATTCACCGCCAGCTCTGCCTGGAGCCGGTTGACGTTGCTTTGAGTCTGGTCAACGAGCTGGCTTTTCTCTGCTAGCTTGCCTTCCAGTTCCACGACATCCTAAAGTGGCAAAAGGGGAAAAGGGAGGGAAAGATCTGGGTTGGCCAACCCCGTGAGATCCTAAACCCTGCCTCTGTGTTGTTGCCTGGAAGGGAAATGAGAGGGAGGTTTGGAATACCCTTAACCAGGGTTATTGAGATTTAGAAAAGATTTAGAAATTCCGTCAGGCTGCGGAGCAGAGAGGGAGACAGAAGAGAAGCAGGGCTGTGGAAGGATCTTAGGGAATGTTAGTATTTTTTTAAAAATATAAATCTCTGAATCCCACAGTCAGTCTGACCATCTGGCCATAGAGAGCTGCCTTTGGCCACCTCTCATATGTTTCGACCTCACCTCGGTGTTATAAGAAAGTCTGCTGCTTCTATGCCTCCCCATAGTGCTTCAAGCTCTCTCTGGATGGTTAACCATACAATTACGCAGGCTCTGCATTGCCCCACCCGCTGCCAGTGAGCTGGTTGCTCAATTTACCAACTTCGAAGGATGGAAGTCTTCAGCCAGCAACCTGAGCCGGTCGGGACTGAACTGGTTTGCCAACGCTGGCTTAGAAACGAGGCGATTTAAGTTGAGGGATGGGGTAGTACCATGTCATTACGATTAAGTTTTTACTTAGGTTTTGGATGGAGAAACTTGCAACCTCTTAATTTCTACGAGATTTATTACTCTGTGGTTCTAGGAGACACTCGCCTGGGTGTGCCCCGCGGGCAGGTGTTGAGGAAAAAAATACTGGCTGTCACTCACTTGTCGGAGCTTGTAGTTCTCTCTCTCAATGGACCCCATCATTTCTTCATGCTTCCTCTCCTCTCGCAGGTTGCAAAACTGGATCAAAAGGCAGCTATCAGTAAAGGGGGTTCCACATTCAAACCATTAAAAAAAAACAGACCATTTAAACCAGGGACATTGGCAGGTGTTTGGGTCTGAGCCAAGGCTGAGTCTTTGGTACCAGTTACCAAGTCCTGAGCCCCATGTCTGGTTCCCTATTAAAAATAAGCCCTTTTCCCCAGGAAAAAAAAGGGACAGGATAGCTGGGATTCAAGTTGCAAGTCAAGTCTGAGTGACTAAAAAAAACAACAACCCCGGAGTCTGAGTCGAGTCACCAAGTGCGACTTTAATTGACTTGCCAGGAGTCTTTAGACTCAAGCTCCTGTCCCTGATTTACACAAACAGGGAAGGCTAAGCAAAATGGACCTCCATTCCGTTTTGCACCCTATTTAAGCGGACAGGAGGTGGGAGCCGAGTGACAGGGAGTGGCCCGAGATCACCTAGGGAGCTTTTGGCAGAACAAAACACAGAACTCAGAAGCCAGGCTTCAAGTCTCTCAGGCTGTCCTTCTTTGACAGTGCTTGGGCTCCACTCCCCTGAATCAGCCTATACGGCTTAGTGGACTCTGGTTTGAATCTCTGGCCCATTTCCTGTTTGATCTATACGTCTCTCAGGCTGTCCTTCCTTGACAGTGCTTAGGCTCCACTCCCCTGAATCAGCCTACATGGCTCAGCGGACTCTGGCTTGAATCTCTGGCCCATTTCCTGTTTGATCTCCTGTGCAAAAAACAGCCATCCAACAAAGGGTTGTTTCATTTTTTTCTGGGTCATCTGCCATGGGCCTGGTTGTGCAACCCACTGGGCAGCCGGTTTTGCCACTGGGCGCACAACAGATGCCTTGGGAAACAGAGACAACCACCTGCTCCACAGCGACTGTGGCAGACTAACTAGGCTAGTGCCCGGGGACCCCAAGCCAACTCTTATACGCAACTGCACCAGACCTACCTGAACCTATGGGTTTTTCGTTATACGACCTACCCCTTTGCCATCCACTGTACCCATCAGAACTGTGAGAGTCTCCTGGGCCCTGGAAACTGGGTTCAGACTCCTGCCCCACCCCTTTGCCCCCAAGCCAGCCCAGACTTTCTGGATGGGGTGTTCCTCCCATCCACCTTGTTAGACATCGCTTCCAGCTGATCGCCCCGTTCTCTCAACTCCTTCTGCAGTAACGCCTGCTCTGAGTGAGCTCTCCGGAGCCGGGATCCCTCGAAAGACAGCTGCCTTTGTAGGGAACATATTGCACCTAGAGCAGAAATTGGTGAAGGGGATCCAGATTATTCATCCACAGACAGCATCTCCACTTTTTCAACCTTCTTTATGCTTGCTTCCGTAGCGTGAACATCAATATTACAAGTGCGTCTGCAATGAAAAACTGCAGTGGATCTTCCAGTCTGTCTTGCGACACTGCTCTTGGTTACAAGCCCACCATATTCTTCTGAAAGATACCCTTCTCCTGGCTTCCTTTGCCCTATTCCATGCCGCTCCTGGACCATCGGCATCTTACAGTTACCAGACTCCAACCTCACCAGGTTGTATCTGCAAGGGCTGCAGAACATTTCCTTTTAAAAGACATGCTTGTGCCATTTGGGGCTCCTCCTCTCGTGTTTACAGGGCCAGAATTATTTTTTCCCCAAAATTCTACTTACTTATTTCTAACACGTAAGCTCCCACTAGTGGTGAAAGTTGTCATTGCATGAGATTTTCTTCACCTACGTATCTTGCATATAAGGTGTTTTGTCTCAGAAAGGTCGATGGGGGCCTCATTTGTAAGTCTGATTGCTGAGGCAGGAATTTCTGAGCGAATCCTTTTCTGGGTGAATTGTAAGGAAGCTGCTTTATCTGCAAAGTCCAGTTGAAATCTAAACCGCCCCCTTTCAGACTCCATTTCTAATGACATAACAAGATTTCAGCTGGGTATTGGAATAAATACCATTCTGACAAGAATTCCCAGACTTGCCTAGCCAGAAAATGGGACTCTGAAAGCTGCAGTCTTTTCCTCTAAAAATTATTTTCCAAGCTCTGCCTGGCTTCAAGCCAACGAACCATGGGATATATCTTAAAGGAACACATCCAATCTCTGACCAGCCTCAAAGGGAAACGTCCAGTACACATAACAAAATCATGGTTTCTCTGCGGTACCTGTGGCAATGTCGTAATCGTTTTTCACTTTCTCCAATTCCTTGTAGAGCTCATTGTTCATCCTTTGGAACTCAAGAAGCTTCCGGATTATCAGTTCCTCCTCTGTTTCTTCGATCACTTCAGGCTCCGTCTCGCCTTCAAAAATCTCCTTTGACACTTTTGAGTCACTTTCCAGAAGGGCCTCTTCCCCGCTCTCCAGAGTTCCCTTCTCCTGTATTTCCATATACTTCAGGGAGAAGGCAAGTAGGAAAGATTATGAGAAAGAAAGAAAACTCAGGAACTGCTGGAATATTTTATTTATTTTCATATTTAAAATTTCCTTTACCCCACCTTTCTCCTAAAAAAAACAACGAAGGAGGCTTGCCTCATTAAAAACACATCGTATTTAAAATTTTCTTTACCCCACCTTTCTCCTTAAAAAAAAACGAAGGAGGCTTGCCTCATTAAAAACACAATATTAAAAGCTAAACACAGTAACTTATTCAAAAAATAATGAGCAACATTATAGGAAAACTGTTAGGTAAAAGCAAATAAATACCAAATAAATACTGTTTGGTATTTATGCCAGCAGAGTGTAGCAGGCTAGTGTCGGGAGCTTCTGGCTATAAAAACAGGGAGTAGCATTTTGGATGCTTATCAGTAAAGAGAAAAAAATCAGGATCATTACTTCAAGAAAACTGCTTTAGGGACGGGACAAGAGAACAAACACATAAACATAGATCCACCCAATGGCCCATTCTGACAAGCATATGTATGAATACAGAAGCCAGCAGAAGGCAGCTGACTAGCATTAGGCTTATGGCCCTCAAACAGCAGTAACTTCTCTGAAAACATGGACTAGGCAAAAAGTAGAAAACTTATTATTTAAGGCTTCTCCTCCTACCCAGTTTAGGGTATTTGTTAAATTCACCAGTGTACTGACTTTAGGG